GTTGGACAGTTGCTTGGATGTGTTGATGGCTTTTTGGACTTGTGAATCTCACGCGCATGAATGTATCCCATATTCTGATTTGCTGCATATTCCTGCTCAGGCCCTGACCCCAATCCCAATCCTTGGCTCCAAGGCCATCCAATGTCCGAGATGCGTTCATCAAGGACCAGAAGCTGCTTGCAGCTGACATCGCCTCAAAGCGCACAGCGCTGCAAGCTGCCTTGGATGAGAACCAGGGCGTTCATTTAAAAATGTCTGTTCCCCCTTCCGTCCACCTCATTAAACATTGATGCGGCCGTACTTAGTCCTGGTTCTTTGGACTTGTAGGGGTGCAGGTTTTGAGGGGTCCTTGGACTTGTTGGGCCTGTATGTGTCTGGAGGCAAGTTGCATGTGGGTCACCTATCTCCTCAGCATGAGAGCAAGATTGACAACTTGGAGAAGGAGCTGTCGACTGCTTGCACATCCTATGATGACCTCAACAAGAGGGTCAACAAAATGAAGTAAGTAGCGCATCTGATCCACGCTGCCCACCCACAGCCGCAGCTGATATGGATTTTTTTCGTTATGTTTTGAACACAGTTCAAGGTACAGGTGGTGGGCAGCCTGTTTGACTGACAGCTGACGTGGTGGGTTCAAATTACCACGTCTCAAAAGGTCCACTGGGCCATGGCTGCGTTCCTTCCAGTAAAACCTGTTCCGAAACCGTTTCCAATTACCTCCGGACGGTACCAATTTTGAGGAGTACGCCTGGAGCATCACATTCATGTTCTAGTATTACAAAGTTGGGTCACAGTGGACCATCGCAGAGTACGGTGATTCCATCACCATATTTAGATATCCTTGCAGCCAATGTGCATGAGTCACATGCGGCCACCGAAACCTGTTTAGAATACACCAGTGTTACCAAGTGGCAGGAGGGCTGACTCAAATGCGAGCTGAATGCTGCAGGGCCACTTGTGTGGAGCAAGAAGACTCCAGGGTCGCCATGTGGGAAACAAGTCGGAGAGAAGTAGATAAACCAGGTGCGTCTGTTTGGAGAGCCGTTCAATGAGGGGGTCCCCTTTCACATCATGTTTGATCGAGTATTGTTTTTGCATCACTGGATGACCCAGTACATTGATGAGGTCCTTGAGCTGTATCCCTTGCCCCTGACCTTGATCATCTCACCAGGATGATCAATATGGAATGTGTGTCTCACTGGCTTTTTGTGCCAGGTGACCAGGAGTCCAACTTCGCGCAGCGCTATTTGGAGAAGATTTGTGATGGAGAACCTTGCCAGAGTGGTTAAAGTCCTGGACCTCCGACCACCACTGCCAATTAATAAAGAATCCTTTCATGGCCATTAGCTGGTACACATTTTCTTAACAATTATCACAAGATCATGGTGATTCCTCATGAACGCTCAGGAGTCATCTATCGAGAATGCAATGGAGTCCCTCAGTCTGGCTTGGCAGGACTTCTGGGTTGGGTGTGTTTGTGGTTTTACTTGAGCTTTGGACAGGTTTCATAGTAGATAGCACAATCCCCTATGTCCTAAGGGTCCATTTATGCATAATTCAGAATATTGTGCCACCCACTCCATCCAACCCTGAGGGTGTAGCACCCTGCTATGAGGTAGGTACGGATCGACCAGATCCGGGTTGGTGAAACATACCGGCTCGGCTAAAGCAGCGAGCGGTCCAATTAGGGGTGGACGGGCCACTGTACTCCCATCCCATCCATTCCCCCATCCCTTCCAACCACCAGCAGTGGTTCTTGGTTCTTGGTTTGGATATCCCTGTGACATGTGGTAATGTGAACGCACCATTGGACCATGTCAGCTCTCAGCCAACCAGGCTGCCCGCCACCTGTACCATTTTTTTGGAGACAGGCAACTATACTCCCATCATCTCCCATCCATCCAGTCCATCCCCATCCCTTCCAACCACCCACAGTGGTTCTTGGTTTGGATATCCCTGTGACATGTGGTAATGTGAACCATGTGAGCTGTCAGCCAACCAGGCTGCTCACCACATACACCGCTGTGAAAGTTGTTGGCGCAACTCAGGGGGGTAGCCACCATAGCCATAGATGGCTCAACACCACATGTCAATTGAATCATCTTTGAGCTAGGAAGCACAAAAAAATGACGCAAAAAAGATCATTAAACATCGCGAAAACTAGGGCTGCAAAATCTATAGATGGCGCATCCCAAAGCTCTTTTTCTCCCATCCCAAAAAAAGAACGCAGCAAGCAAACACAAGGACTGCTCAGGAATCTGGACACTGAAGGAGCGTCCAAGCGTTGCTGAAAATGGCGCAGGGCATCCCTGCTCGAATTCATCTTAGGATGAACAGGTGCACTCCTCGCAAATACAAAGGCGTTTGGGAAAAGGTTACTCCTTTCCTTGACTTCTCCTGTCCCTCTCTGTTCCTTTCCCCGTCTTTTCCCTTTCCCTTCCTTTATTCCATTGATCTATTTTCACATAGGGGCAATAGATGGCGCAACTCATAGACCAAAAAATAGATCCGTGAACCAATAGACCAATAGATGGCGCAACTCATTTCGGTTTGCTTCCCTTTTTCCTTCCTTTCCTTTTGTTTCCTTCATTGTCCCTTTCACTCCTCTCCTCTCCTCTCCTCTCCTCTCCTCTCCTCTCCTCTCCTTCTCTTGCCTTTCCTTCACTTTTCCTTTCCCTTTCCTTTTTTTCCTGGATTTGTTTCTTCCCTCTCCTCCTTCCCTTTTCCTTTCCTGCGCTTTCTGCTTCATGCAGTATAGCATTTCCTGCGCTTTCCTCTCCAACTTCATGCAGTACAGCATCAGTGGTGAGATTTGCAGAGTTGAAGCCTACTGTATGCATTGATTGGCATTGCGCCATCTGTGGTTCTGACATAAAGCCCCCACGCGCAAATAAAAGATGACAAAATGGCGAGATCTTGGACCATAAATGCAATAGTTTTCCAGGGTTTTTGGACTTGTAGATGGCGCAACAGTGCGTTGCCCCCCTGGAGTTCGAAGATGAAGCAACAAAAAAAGACAAGCCATCAATTTTCACAATGGAGTATACCTTTTGGAACTGTTTTTGAAACCACCTGGTGTGGATGGATCAGTTTCAAGGGTGGATGGTGAGATCCATGGCCAGCTGCCTCGATCAGGATTCACGTGGCCAATCCTCGAGATCGACTTCCGAGCTTGGATCCTGTAGCACTGTAGCCATTGGAATCGCTCACGGGACTTCTGGAAGTGGGCAGATCTTCCGTTTGCTGCTTGGCTGGAAGTGGCAGGTCTAGGATCTCACTTGATCCATCGATTGATCAATCGGTATTGGAATCCAAACATCATGTCGGCCGTTCCACCAGTCTTTGGTAGCACATCTCATTGCCATGTGCATTCACAGAGGATCAAAAAAATGAACCTCCCCCATCCAATGGACCCACCTCCACCCACGTCGATCGAATCGAACGGATCAGGGTTCACTTTTGGATCTAGAACCTGTTTTGGTCCACTTGGAAGTGTGACCCCCAAAGAAGCAATATTTTCTTGGGTCTGTGAACCCTCCATCAAGCATGCACATGTGATCACATAGCTATATATCTCAAAACATCGACTTGAACGTTTTCATGAACCTAATGACCGTCAGCTCAACCCATCGATGTCGACTCCGATGGTTTCATGACTGGTTTCAAGGGTCATGCAAAAGAGGATGAGGGTCCATGGCAAGCCTTTTCATGCGTTTTCATTCCGAGGTAAAAAGCTTAATTGCGCTCATGACCCTTGACGTCGGCTCGAGGTCGGTGCGACGTCGGTCATATCTCCATTGCAATGGATAGCTGGCTAAAAGCCAAGTACAGGGGCAGGTTTGCCCCTATAGGCCTAGGACGGCCAATAGATGTTTCTCATGACCCTCCACCCATCCCAATCAATCGTCGATGTCCGCACGAAGGGGTATGGGAAGACCTTTCACTGGCTCAAACGTACAGGAAGCTTTTTAAACACAGGGTGGCCCAAGTTGAATTTAGACATGGTCCTTTTTTCTTGACCCTCCACCCATCCCAACCTGTCGTCGATGTCGGCACCCAGCGATATGGATTCAGGCCTATAGGGCAGACCATACAAAGCCAAGACATGTAGGGCAGGGTTGCCTCTGTATATTCTTAGGCCTGTGTGAAGGTCAATGACCTCACTCTGGACCTGGTCAGTACTATGCACAAGCTTTTACTGGGTCTTTGGATATATATGGTCCATCATGACCACTATCATGACCCTCCACCCATCCCAGTCGATCGTCGATGTCCGGACCGAGGGGTATATGGGCTCAGGGAGATTCTATTCCCACAACTATACCTCATATATATTAGTTGGATGGCAAACGGCTAAGCCAAGAACCGCGCTAGCATCAGTAAAATGAATGCATTAGACTTGCTCTAAAATTGCTTTTTTCCTTCGCATTTCACTTGTGGCAGGATCGATATGGATGTGGCGTGGCGACGATGACATGGCAAGGACTGGCAGTTTTGACATCTTCTGATGGCAAGCGGCTAAGCCAAGAACCGCAGCTAGGAACCTAGAATATGCAGTGAACATGTGAAGGTTCCCATACAACATCACTCCAGGAGGTAGCGTACTGTGATTTAATGAGTTTGGTAACTGTTTTGAGTGATGTTTCATCGATTTGTACAGGATCTATGTGGGCTCTGGTGGCGACGCCAGTGTGGATGAGACAAAAGGGCGTTTCTTCCGACAAACGCGGTGACCTCGTAAAACTTGTTCGTTCTCGGATGACCTCGTTAAGCCAGTACTTCGGACTTGCAGGGATCATATATATGATATTATATCATATATGGGGGGGGTTTAATCAAGAGTCTACACAATACACACTCTCCTGAGCCGATCAAACCTTCGCCTTCTATTTGGGGGTCGGGTCTAAATATAACTTCAAGCTGGCGTTGGCTAACCGTCGGCTGCCCTTAACAACCTGCTGTTCGATAGTGCAAGGAAGATCGACTGAAGACTGAGTCGCGCAATCGAGACATAGGAGGTCAATCCAAAACCTTGGTCCAGGCATGGAACATGAAGAATGTGTTCCGTTGGAATCTAAAACAACATCTGCCAAGGAACATGGTCGATTGTCCAGTCAGGTTCCGCACACTCCATGTTGAAGACAGCCTCTTAGCCCCGAGCAAGTGATCCCGTTTCAGTCCCTTCATCGTCCGGAGCGTGGCGATGGCCTCTTCAGCGGACGCCACATCTGACGTCCACAATGGCACCGCGCTGGACGTGTCAGGCACTTGTAGCCTGGACGTGGGTTGGTGAAGTACAGACTCACAAGCAAAATCCAAAGAAACCTGTTAGGATACAAAGCTGTGCGGGATGTTAGGATATGAGCGCTCATATGTTAGGATACCAACCATTTGTGCAACAGTCATTGACATTCCTCTTTGTCGCTCAACAAGAAGCACTTGTCCGCGGAGGAGAGGTTCAGGCCACTCCAGGTGCCCTGAGAGACGCTCAAGTCTCAGAGAGAGTTGTCCCTCGACGTCACGTGAGATGGCCACTTGCGGATGGTAATAAATGCCTTACTGGCAGAGTTCTGCCACAAAAAGCGGGCGGTTTTTTGAACACATGCGAAAACCATACCCAACCAATCATCCGTGTTCATGCATAGTTGGAAGACTTACAGTCCATACGTCCAGGCAAGATACTGAAACCACTGTTGTGCTTCACCTCAGGGGTTGTCGCGTCGATCGCACTTCAACGCTTTCACCGTCAAAAGATTATCCAAAGGCTTAACAAAAACGAAGAAACCATGAAAAAATAAGGAAACACCCAGTGCTGTGCTTTCTTTCGCCTCATCAAAACGAAAACATAAGATTTGCTCATCTTCCTCCAATCTGAGGGTGATTTCGATGGACGTCTCCAGAAGCTCTGCGAGCTGATCCGGTGACACCAAAGTGAACTTGCTCTGCTCCGCGGACTGCTCCGCAGGCGAACTCGGCGCGTTGGCCAGTTCCAAGGTGAGCAGCAAACCGAACTCTGTGGAGTTAAGGTCATGGACCACTCGAGCTGTAATGAAGCGATCGGTCGGCCGCCTGAGATGTGACTTGAGGAACTGCCATCGGGTTTTGCATCCGAACCAAGCGGGAGGGGAGAACTCGAAGAAGCATGTGTCTCTCTTAAGCGAATGAGCTTGAAGCCTCGAACCTCCAAGTGAGTCTGTTCAGATAAGAATTCTATAGTTTAAATGGATTCAAGTAGGATATAGCATGGTATCCAATGTTTTCTTTGCAAACCGCTGCACCAAGTGTGACGGAAGTCCTGCTAACATGTTGCTTCTTCGCATTCTTTGCATCCCAGAGGCTCTTGGCGCTCTTGGACTGATCCAGAAATGATCTTTCGGGTGGCGCCCGTCTCACCTCAATTCGTCGCAGCAAAACCGCCAAACCCAATGGCCTCTCGCAACACATGGCCATGGCCCTGGCTGTTTCCGGCTGGATGTCCATGGCCATTCCCTGCTTCGTTCCTCTGTTCCGCACCGCTCGGTCAAACCGCCAGGTCACCGGCTCGTTCTTCGGACCTTGAAGGATTGAGTCGGTCACCGTGGCGTCTCGGCGTCTCGGCGTTTGGGTCCTGTTCCCGAAAGAAGGACATGGAAGGACATAGAAACAAAAGGGACCATTTCATGTTATGCATGGTTGATGTTATATGCACTTAATGTACAAAAGGGACCAGTATATTGTTATAGATTGTTTGTGTTTTTCCATACTGGCCAACTAAATAGTTTGTGTGAATATCCAAACATACCCAGAAGTCAGCATCACAAAGCTTTCGGAAACGCCCGGTTTGGACTGGAATCGGACTCCCAATGACGTCCGACCGGTTTCTGCCAAAAAGAGAGGAGTCGATGCCAGGCCAGGTACCTATATATCCACCCTAGAAGTCGTGGCCCACCATGTATTTCATAGCCTAGTTACCAAACAACTACAACTAAAACTAAAAAGTTGTTTTTTTCCATGTTTTTCACTACCACATCCAGATGAACCGGTCGAACATGGTCCTTCACCGACTCGGACATTCCATCTATTCTCACCCCATCCTCCACCGCACCGGGACCGCACCACTCGGAACGGCCCAGGCCCAGGCCTCCGGTGATGTCTCACACATCTCCAGCAACAAGGGATCTTTACAACCAAAGTATGGTGTTGCGGTTTGTGTTGTTGCAAGTCCGCCCTTTGGATCCCTTTGGCCAACATCCAGAGCTTGCAACAACTGAACTAATTGCATTCCAGCTGCGGTGGACACGGTGGACATGCAGCCTCAGAAGTGACCAGACACCGTGCGCCGTTTTCCAGATCACCTGGGGCTGCCCGGGGCGGAAAACGGTGACCAGAACTCTCAATAGCTCCCACTTCCAGAACTCTAAGATTGAGTCATGAAGGTCAGTGCCTGACTTGCACTTCTTGCACTTGTCGTCCTTTCAACTTCTTTAACTCAAGAATGATTAAGTTTCTTCATTGGGAGGTGAAGACAACTGAGGCAAGGACCAAGTGCCCGATATGCAGGCGTCGCAAAGCGAGACTGGGTGCAACCCATGAGATGTCGCAAGTTTGGCGACGGTGATTGGCCACGGTGAGCTCGGTCAGGGTTGGTGTATGTTGGTGTATAAATGGTATGTATACTGGTGTGAGTGTGTGTGGTTAAAGACATCTGATGACATCTGCTATGTGCCTCGTGTATACACTGCCCTCGGAGTGCTGATGATGTTGGTGTGATCTTGCAGTCATTACAAAATTCCTGGGAACAAACTCAATGCAGGAAGGCTTCTTTGTCTCTCTTCCTTGTCTCTTCCTGCAGCTTCTGGGAGAGTGCAGGAATCGCATCTTGCATCTTGCAGCTCGGTTCTGCTGACTCAATCAAGTTGGCTTCGAGACCGAAAGCGGGGCATCGAGTCGAATTCAAGCAACAAAAGTAGCTAGCCTCAAGCAAGACATTATGAAGAATCAGGCAAACTGCTGATTTCATTGCTTCAGCAACTTCCGAACATTTGATAAATTCGAGCCTTTGCGGTGATTGTATCTGCTCAAAATGTTCCCAGTGGTGTAGGGGCAAAATCGCTGCAAATGCTCAAATTTCACAGCCACTCTTGGTCTGTGATCTGTGTTGCCTTGTCTTTTGAGCCAGCTAGGGCCAGCTGGCACAAAAAGTCTTGGAGCATAACCGGTGGGTTCCCAAAACCGCGGATGTGTGTCCTGCCCAAACCACGGCTTGGGAACAATACATTCATTCCCTGAAACTAAGTGATGGTGACGTGGACTGACCCCCGCCGATGTCACGGGTCTTCAGATGTCGTGTCACGGGTCCGGGACATCCGTGAACCGTCGCGTGAACCGTTGCAGGGAGAGGTCACTGGTCCCCGATCCCAAAGCGTGAAGACCTCACTCCCTGCCTGCCGCCCTGGCCACAAAGCCACTGCCCCCCCCTGGCGCATCGAATCACATCGGTGGACGAAGGAAGACCACTCCGTCTTAATGGATCCGGTGCCCACATGTTCCTCCCCATGTCAGTCTCTCCGGTGTTCACATGCAGACCTTCCGATGAAGCGTCCGGCCCTTTTCACCGGAAGTCTATGCGATCTTCAAAAACGAGTGCTTATTACAAAAGCAATACCCCTGCATTCTTGGGTTTGATGCCTTTACAGGCATTCCATAAACCGTGTGCATTATAAACGCTTATTACAAAAGCGGTTCTTCCTTCTCCGCATGGGTTTGTGCGCTGATGGGTTGCTCAGGGGGGATGTCTGCGTGGTGGGAATGGCTTTCTTTTCTGTGAATGTCTTTCTTTTCAGCCACTGGCCCCCTTGTTGCTCAATGGACAAAGAAGGTCTACAAAGACAAAGCAACCACCTGCTAGTCTTCTGATAAATGCACTCTATCCTTCAGACCCTTGTGGTGTATCCGGTGCCACTGGTGCACAAAGATGTTCACAGCCTTGTCGCGGGGGACCACTCTCTTCTGGATCTGGGCTCTCTCACCAGATAGACCGTCGCCATCCAAAAGCAAGGCAATAGCAGGCTTCGGCTTCCTGATCGGGAACGATCTGATGGCGCCCAGTGATTTCGGCTTGGACCTCTTGGACCTCTTAGGCTTTCTTCCTGATAAGCAGTGAAAGGCTTAGACCTCTGAGCAATGGGCCCAAGGTTCCAAGCTGACAAGTTCCTCGGTCGTGGGGGCTTCCGTGGATTGAGGGTTGAAGGTTGTTACGGGGTCAGGTTTCGGGTCAGTGCGTGATTGAAACGCAACGGTGTGTTTTTTTCTGTATTGGCTTTAGTGTGTCCAGTTTCCACGTAGCTGCAGACCTGGCTGTTCTTCTGTTGATATGTTTCGATGTGTCAAGACAGTTTTGTCAAACATGGCTTCGTGGGGTTCCATGATTTTGTCTGTCTTGACACGGGAAGGTTTGTCTTCCATAGGCCTGAAAAATGTGATGTTTCGTTCAGGGACCTGAATCTTGTGTGACACAGAGGGGGACCTGCCGGTGATGCCCTTCCCGTGGCAATACGTGCCCGTCCGCATGTGACACCGACTTGCACCGACGACGGACGCTTCGAAGCGAAGGACACCCGCGGGACCCGGCCGAAGTCCGGCAGGTTCCAAGTCCTAGGACATTCCATGTTTTGTCAACTATAGATCGAAGGGGGTGCAGTGAATTTGCCGGCTGTTCCATTCTTGTTAACAGTACTTCTGTCAAGGAAGAAGTGGCCTCTACTACAGAGCAATCTCTCTGATCTACCCCATGAAAAGAAATGGACTCCGAGAAAAATAACAACTGACAAACCAGTAGTGACCAGTTGGCTGTACCAGAAGTTCCCCAGTCAGACACCATCCCAATGCGGGACATTTCTCTCCACCTCTCTCAGAGTCTCAGGAGATCTACCGAGTACCCTGGCCAGGTTCCATTCTCGCGCATTTCTTGCGCCCGACCAGAGAACCCTTATGTTGACAGAGAAGATCTGCCTCAAATACATTTGAACAAATATACTATATGTGCAAGAATAATACTTAGTATAAAGGACAGCTGGGCAAATCGTCAGGTGATGAAGTGCTGCAAATCTCTTGTCTATCAACCCTCTATGTACATCGAACGAGATGACATGATCATCATCCTCTCATGTAGCTCTCCAGCGCCGAAGTCGTAGAATTCGCATGCAAATCCACAGGAGAATCAGCACCAAGAGAGCTACAATCCAAGCACTTTCCCAATATAAGATCCTATAGCAACCACTGCGTTCGCACCAAGAAAACATCCAGCAAAAAGATCGACATCGACTCCAAGGACGACGCGAGGACGCCCTTTTCAGCGGCACCCGTCCTCGCCAGGTCCTCCAGATTCCACGAGCTCCGGGTCCGCAGCCCGGGGTCTAACACAGGCAGCTCGCGCTGTGTCAGGAGCTCCGGCGCCAGGTATTTCCTTCGTCAGATGGAACGATGGGTCCAAGGGCCCTGGTTCGGCGAAGCATCACCAATGGGAAGGGACCTCCGCAAAAAAATGGTGCAAAACCTTGCAGTTGAGAAATGAGGTCCGGCATCGTGGATGATTTTGGATGTGTTTGGACATACTGTTCAATCGTGCATATGACCAGATCAACCTGAACTGGGGCGGTACTCCGATGGTGTCCCATGGTCGTAACGTGCGCTGATCGCGTCACTTCCCTCCGGACCCGCGTCACCTGTGACGTCACAACGGAGTTCTCCAACCGTTACGAACCGGAATCGACTGTTTGCAGCCAAGAGGTTCTTGGGTGCACAAAGCAGCTCCTCCAAACCGTTCATCGCAGGCACGTCATGTTCAATGCCACGCCCACCTGAGAGGTCCCAGGTCCCACCGGCTTCGTTCGGGACCCGCCCCCGCGGGCGGGCGCGGGGTCTTCGCGCGCCATGCGTTCGTTTTTCTGGACCTGACACAAGGGGGATCCATAAAGACGAAAGGCGCGCGAAGACTTGCGTTTTTTTGACCTCAACTTTTTAGAGGGACCCATAAATAGTTCGCCTCAGAGTGGAGTGAAAAGTTTTGAAACCTTGATAGTTCACCTTCGATCTTTCGCATCAGCTAAGACTTTTTTTTGGAGCCCATCTTTCTGAATATGGAATCAATTGAACGTGGTCAGTTTCTGATCGTGGTCGGTACCTGGTCTTGCTAACCACCAGGCTCGATCAACAACCGGGGGTCGCCAACAAATGCTTGCGACTTATACCGTCTAAATGCTCATGTCTATAGGACCTGCAACTTATACCCTTCTTATACCTATAACCTTCTTGTATAAGTGCTTGCAACTTCTGGAATAACAATGGAATCTCTGGATTTTGGTAGAATTCCAGAGCAAGCCCGAGCAAGCCCGAGCAAGCCCGAGCAGCTAGGTGCCTTGATTGGCCAAACGAGTGTGAGGACCTCTCTTGAGGTCGATTCTCCCCTCTTGAGCTGGTCTTGTTCACATGTATCGAGATGCATCAGATTCGAGCTTCAGAGGAGTGCAAGCACTCATCTGCGCATTGTCCACATCTTTACAGTTCTGTACAAACATGCACAAACTAGAGGAGTCGTACTATAGATTTCACCGTTTCCGATGAAACAAACATCTGAAGCTCTGCTTTGTTTAATTCCCCAACACCACCGTCCACCCAGCGAGGTCAAGGCACAAACAAAGCCTTTGGCGTGCAGATCGTACTCACCCTCCTGCGTGGACTGCCAATGAAACACTTCCAACAACAAACAGAAAGACTTGAAGATCGCCTAGGGGCTGCTTCCGTTCGCGGTCTCCATTGGGCACCCCTTATAAGTAAGCGCCTTCGGTAGGTTCAAGATTCCACAGAAGAACCCTCTCCGAGGCCTTCTTCTTTTTGATTGGCTTGGCACAGCCCAGATTTTGAAGCTCCCCCTGGCCGGCCGACAAGGCCAGCAGCAAGGGCACGGCAATCCTGAGCGTTCTGGCAACAGTTTTCAGTGGCTCGAGGGAATCCCGAGGCTCAAAGTTACATGTTTGTCAGGAAACCTGAGTAATAAGCCCTAGGGGCACCTGTCCCATCTCCTCAGGTTCGGTGGTTAGACCCCCCCAAGCCCACGCCCACCCCAACCACCGAGCCGAACGCGCTATAGTTGGAGCCCAAAAGGGAAGGAAAACCCTTTTTTGATGAGGAAATACTGTAAGGACTGACTATCATGAATGAAGAATACAGTAAACGAAGTAAACCAGCACCCGACTTCACTGCGTCACCAATGGTTCGACCTCTTAGGGCCCAACCACCCATTTCGGCCTGTTTGTCGTCGGCTGGAAGAGAAATATGAATGAAGACTGGAGGCCCAGGCTGGTGGTTTCTGGGAACACTGGGAAAACCTTAACAGTTGGGCAACGTCGGAATAGCATGAATGACGGATCATGACGAAATACGGTTTTTTGACGGCGGGACCTCGTTTCCTGAGCTGAGTTGGTTCATCTGTGTAGCGCGCCGGCCTGGTGCTCTTCCCCACCAAGCAACACTGACCCTTCGGATCGTCTCTGCCGTCCACCGCTTTCCCGGGACCAAACTGTCGGTCCAATGCCTGCATTGGACATCATTGGGCCAACCACCGAACGACTCACTTTACTAGCGCTTGTCGAAGAACTGTCTGCATGGCAGGCCTAGGGCCTTTAAAAGGAAAAGGACAATTTGTTTGTTAAACAGTGAGGCTGTCTGAGACCCCACAACCCAATGGTTCCCAGACGTCTGAAGGAGGAAGGTCCCAGACATCATTCACACCCGAGTTGGTCCATGTTGAGACTGTGACCGGGAATGAATGACCTCAGAAGGAGGATACCCTGACCTGATGCCCTCCTCCAGATCTCGATCTCGACGCTTGACATCAGAACGATGGATGTCGCTGGATTCGATCCCGTTGTGCTCGAGTTCACCTCCCCTTTTGGATCTGCTATACCGCAGCGGTAGCAGTGGGTGGGCCGGTTCTTCGCGGTGACATCGACCGCGTGCCGACGTCGACGGAGTCGACCCACGAGGCGTCGAGGGTCTGGGTTTCCCCAAATCCACGGATGGCCACGAATCGATTAATGGCTAAGCGTCGCATGGGTCAGATTCCATTCGTTCAAGATCGGTGCCGCAGCTTTGAAGATGGGGAAGGCCTGACCAAACACGTCGCCCGGCGCCGTGGAAACACCCAGGCCACCCAGGCCACCGAAAACACGGCTTTCTTTAGAGCTCGGTGTCTCCCCGAAAGGTGACGATATAGAACTTGGAGTGTTGCAGACCTTGCAGGATGTTCATCATGGGGGACCTCTGTTGACATACAACATCATACGTATACATAAAGCACCGACATAGAACCTCGAAGAACATCGCACCATATCGAACCAATCGCATGCTGCACTTCAAACTCCTCCGTGCTCGGTGGGCGCCCGTGCTATCCCGTGCGCCCACCCGACGGTTCCGGAGGGGAACCCGGAACGGTCGGTGCGGTGCCAAAAAGGTGACCGGTTTTTCACCGGAACAGCTGTCTCTGTGGCACTAGAAGTCGGTGCAGCTGGGTTCAATGAAACATCTACAAGTCATGAAGTGTCATTCAACTGTTCCTTTGCACTCCTCCGTGACTCCGTGCGCTATTGGACTGCATAACTGGTAGTGTCAAATGTTTGCAACACCCGTTGCTTAGCTTGTGCAAGCAGGTGCTCTGCCACGCATTGCCTTGACGTTTCCACAGGGTCCGACCAACACCAGTCCTTCCAGTGTGAATTTGCACTGTTTTCAGCTGGTTCAGGTCTCCAATTACCAATGAGCACCTTGCCAATACTCTGGATCCTGATCAAACTTTTTAACATCCCACTTAGAAAAGAAAGTCAATTTGGCAGCACGCGGGTTAGCCGGATACATGGCATATCGGGCTTGGCAAACACAGGAGAGCATACAGGGGTCAGACGGGTAGTAGCTCGCCACATGTCTGGGGAGCTTCCAGACGGCGAACCAAAAAAAACCATCCGGCCGGCCTTTTGCGGAAGGTAGAAGAAGCCGCTGAAGAGACGAAAAAATGGAGCCATTCCTCAGGCTTTGCACAGCCCAGCCCTCCAGGCCCATGTCAAGACCTGGGCTCTGAGAGAGGCCAACCATTGAGGACAACCAAGTCGCGGTCGTTTGAAGGGTCCAGAAAAGGAAATGGTGCACTGAAAAGAAGAACCGCGCAAATCAGTCTACCAGTCTGAAGTGTCGTTTTGTTCAGCAAATCCAGGAGACTTCTAACGGCATTCATGATCTGTGTCCTGGTCTTGTTTTGAGCATCCCAGTACCGCTGTTGCCGTGTCAGCTTCTTGCTATTCCATTCATCCAACTTGGCAAAAGTGGTATTCCGCAGTTCTTCAGAGGTGCCGACTTTGTCCACTTCCAAGTGTCTTGCCATCTCGCAAGGAGACATGGCAACCTCAAAGTTCAAGAAGAGGATTCCCCTTGAGTTCACGGAAGAGCTCGATTCGAGCTCGTCCACCACACATTGGTAGGCTTCACCAGCACAAGTGCGTGCCAGACTCCATGGAAGGCCTTTAGGAGTGAGAAAGATCACCTGATTGGTCACAGCCAGGCTGACTTCCAAAACACCAGAGATTCACAAGGTCGGATGGACCCCTTTTCAGCCTCCCACGTCTTCCGTTTCGCCGCCACGGTCGGCGTCCCCAGGAATGAACCCAACTCCGACGGTCGAGTCTACCATGTTCCTATATGGACCTGCGGGCCACCCAACCCCTGAAAACTCAAAGGAAGAAATAAAGAATGTCACGGATCACAGCCCAGCCACATGTCTGAAGTACAAGAAGTAATCCTGTAGCAACAAACGCCTGGCATAGCAGAGTTCTTGCTCACTGCAGTGGATGATCAGTGTCACATTGTCCAGCCCAGCCATTTCACACGGTGGAGCAAAAACGGGCGGCGCATTGGCATTGACCTGAGAGGAGAGGTCTTTTTCATGCCAACCAACAGTGTCCTCATCCTCATCCAGAGGTTGAGTTGAGGTTTTGACGTCTCCACCTGGACCACCGAAATCATGGGTCCACCGAAATCCGAGGTCGGCATCACGGGGCACGGTCGAGGTCGGCCCGGGCGAGCGACTTCGTCGTTCCAGTGGTTGAGAAATCCCACAGAAAAAAAGAAATGCCACTGGTATTTCATGGGAATTTGACACTATACTACAGTATGTCTATTTGTGGAACTCTACTCATGAGAACATCTCCAGAAAAGCCACTACTCATGTTTATTTGTGGAACTTGACACTGGCTATGTACGCGCTATATGTATACGAGATATGACCATATATGTCTTTTTCTCGCCGGGCAACAGTGCGGAGATTTCGAGGCTCCTGCGTGGCCAGGAGCTGTAACGCATTTCGGTGACAGTCATCTTGAAGTCTCACCTGGCACAGGTGCTGGACCACTTCCCCCCTTTCTGGCCCCCCCATGTGACCATGGGCAATTTTAAGCCAACTATCAAGTGAGGAAAAGGAAGAGTGTGCTTTTCTTTGCTGACTACCCGCTGGGTGCCACATCTGTGGTAACGTTCCTGGTTGAAAAGCACCTCCACAGTGCGGGAGCACCACCCCGGGTCTGCTTCCATCGTCTCTTCGGACCGGAGGCACCTCCGTCTCTCCGTGCTTCCCTCAGGTTTTTGAGACTGGATGGCTATATGACTATATGGGCTGGGCTTATATGACTATATGGCTGTTTGAGGCTTTTGGGATGGCTTTGGGGATGGCTATCTAATATATGTATGGCGTCATGGCACCGGCGGACCTGTCTTTTTTTCTCCACAAAATAGATCAACACACGTCTCCCCTACCCTGGGACACGGTGCCACAACTGTTGGAACGCCCGACGCCCACCACTTGGTACCCCCCATGCTCGCCCCGCGCGCCCACGGTCCGCACCCGGGGGCCTTGTGTCCACAAATGAAACCTTGGGACGGCGCCGGATGGCGCTGGGGGGCAACGGATGCCCGGACTGGGACTGGCCCAGGGACTGGCTATGCGCATTTGAGTGGATTTTTGTACGGTTGCACCCGAACGCCTGGATAGGCCTGGATGGGAGCAAACAAAAAAATGGGGAAATGGCCACAGCATGCCACAGCTTCACATTGGTGAATTCTGGCAGGGATTGCCATGGCCAAATCCCTTCGACAGGGTCTAGCTAGCAACGGACCTCCAATTTGCTGGCAATCTTTTGGATTCTTTTGGATGGGCTGGTCAACGCACCAACCTTTACGAGCAACCTCAAGACTAGTCAACTACAGTCAGAACACGTCAGAACCTAACCATACTCATTCCTTCTGAATTGATTGAATTGATATGAATTGATTGATCAGTCAAGCTGTTCATCGTCCAGATGAAAAGCCCTTGATCGTCGCCGACGAGGCCCCAACTGCCCCAAATGGACCCACCCCTGCCGATCCGTCGCATGGACCCACCAAACGCGACGAACACGCGACTTTGAGCATACCTTTTCCAGCATACCTCTGTTTTGGTATCAATACGGCCTTCACCAGGTCAAAAATTGGATCTTGGAAACATATATACGTCTCCACGACCCGCTCCCCCCCGCAAAAAACGAGCCGATTTCTTGGAGCGCGGCACCTTTGGACAAGATCTCCTCCTGCTGCACGTGTCGGCAACATGAGCCGCGGCAGCGGAAGTTCTGCATCGGGACGTTGGAGATGCGGGCGGAGGTCATCAGCAGGGTCGGCGAGGCCATCTCGTGAAAAATCTTGTTCTCTTTGAAGGCTTTGGCCTCGTTTCACGACTCGAAGACTCCTGATTTAACGAACCAAATCTGTGTGTGAAAACACAGTAACTCCAGACCTTTTTTTTTGAAACATTCTCTACAGTTCTCCAAAACCGGGAGGTTCCGCACGTCTCTCCTCCCCCGACGTCTCCACGTGCCCCCCTCGTCTCTGGTGCCCAGTGACAAAGGCTGCATAAACGGGAAAGGCTTGCTTGGGCAAGTACAAGAAGTCCGACACCGCGCTCCAAATCCCAGTCTCCAACCGCTGAAGAATGGAAGTGTTGGCGAATGGAAGTGTCGAACTGATTTCATCCAATGCCTTGGCAGTTTTCAACAACCTTGTCCTGGTGGAGTTCCGCTTCATGTCCCAATGATGCCACAAACACCGCAGCTTTAAGTTGGTGTTGCACTCATCCAACTGGGCGAAAGTGGAGTACTTGTCGGACAAGGTTTCGAAGGTGCCCACCGCGCCCACATCCAAACGTCGAGCCATCTCACAAGGAGACATACCTTTGATTGGCTCAAAGAAGCATATGGTGTCAAAACCAAAAGATACAAAAGGTAGAACACTATGTTTGGGCAAAGATTCCAAAGATTCCCTAGAAAAGGGGAGACATACCTTGCATTGGAATGCTGTAATGGAAAACATGTCCAATAAAAAAAACAAAAGCGTGTAAAAGCAATATACCCGATTCCCCCTTACAAGATTCGAGAAGGAGGTTTATCACCAACGGAAAACAAGAAAAGCATCCCACACAAAACCATGCAGAAGACCCACATCAAACTGCATGTAGAGGATTCCGCTGGAATCTTTGGACCGAGGAATCTCTTCTGCGATGCACCAGTAGGGATCTCCAACACGATGGCAAGGCACGGCACCCGGCAACCAGCCAGGATCTTTGGTCAAGAAGATCACAGTCTTCTTGAAGTAAGCAGAGTATTCCTTGGCTGGACTCTTTTCGCACACTGAAGTCTTGGAAAAGACATGCGATATCATGCGATTGACAAAATTGGAGGGCATGTCTTAGAATTAATGAATTATCCCATCACAATAGAATCAATAGACAAGCCCTCAACACTCCGACGCATCCTCATCCCAAGAGTCTAAGAGGAGAGGAAGCCGCAAGCGGCAGATCGGCGGCTCCTGCCGGCAGTGGATGACCAAGGTGACCTCTGCCAAGCTGGAAGTGTTGCAGAAAGCCATGGAGGGCTTCTTCTTGGGCATCGAATACTTCCTGAGAGTGCTACACACAGGCGAAGGATGGCGAAGGCAGCGATGAGATCGACCAGAGTTTCGGGCGGGACGTTGAATCCATCATCGTTGTCTGAAAAAGGAATACAGCTATACAGGGCTATATATTGGCTCAGGCCAAGAATCGCAGGATGAGCCAGCAAATCCTCCAAGCCTTTCATGGAGCCCTTCATCCTTGCATCGCGTTCCAAGCCCCGCCCACCTTGCTTGGCTCGGTTTCTTCGCGCTACTCCGCCGCACGAGCGCGAAGGGCGCGGCGCGCTTTCAAAGGGACCATTTTGGAGGCTTGTAAGATCTTGTAAGTGTCCCAGCTCGGCAAAAAGTTGTCAACTCTAGGGCTCTCCAGTGATCTCAACATATCTCAACTCCCGGATCTGAGTCTGGGTCACTTGAAGAACCAGGAGTTGTTGGTCGTTTGGCCGCCGGGACCTGGTTCTTCAACCCTCAGAAGACGGAGTTCTCTCAGCCAAGAACAATAAGCAATGCACAGCTGTTCATGGATGGCTGGAAGAAAGGATAGACTCGGATAGACCGGACCTTGACCCCCAAAAAAAACCCTGCGAATGTCGATGAACTCATTCTCTCCATCGCATCAACTGAGGCACATCGGAAGCCTTTGGAGAGAATCTCTCGTTCACCAAGATGAGCAGGGTCATTCTTGCAGTTGAAGTTTTGAAGTTCCACCTGGGAGATGATGGATGTCAAAGCCAACAAGCTGGGAGATGCTATCCTCAGCCAAAGGATTGGCAGTCACCATATCAGGTGGTGGCAGAAAAAGCAAGAACAACTGCGGCTTTTGGGTGATGTAGAGGTGCAAAAACCAAAAACACCAAAAAAGCTGGGGGGTTGATGTTTCATGCCTGATTTGCTGATGTCTGATTTGACCCACACACCTTTGCACTTGCGCAGATGCTGGAAGCGCTCCCTGCAAGATAGTGCAGACATGTGCAGACTGCTTTTTGGCTATTCACTTACCCTGGTTTCTGGCGGCTCGTACCCCCAATAGAGACGAAATTGGTCTTTTCCTGTCTTGTCTCTCCTTCGTCCAACCAAAAGCAATTAGGTCACTACAGGACAAAACCTCAGTCTGGCTGATTTCTGTTGAAGTGTTCGCCAGCTACTGTTGATGGAAGAAAACCTGTAGCACCGCGGATAGAAGGCATCCCACACTTTGCGGTGTTTGCTGGTTCCCGGATTCTTTCACCCCAAATAACACCCGGTTGACACTCATGCCGAAGAGACTCTCATTGGACACATTCTCCTCCTTAAAGGCGGCAGCCAAACCTTGAAATACGGGATACACCTGAGCACTCGCAAACAGGCTGAAAGACTGTTGAAACATCCGACAAATTAAACAAACACCCATATATTCGCTCTTGACCCGAGCTCTGGATCACTCGACAATGAGCTCTGGATCATGTTCCATTGCGATCCGTAGCGATCAAAAAAGGTGTTTTCGAACTGCTGCTCGAAAAGCAATCCGCCTAAAACATGGTTTCCGAGGGGCCCAGAAAAAGAAACGTTCTCCACGGGAGAGCCCGTGGAGAACCCCAGAGTTTGAACCGCCCAGCGCCCCACCTGCTTCGGAAGGTAATACAGCCCACTAAAGCCCATCCAGGTGCCCTCTCTCAAGCTCCGCTGGAGTAGCGTCACGGTCGTCTGAGTCAGCGAGGTTTTTGAGCCGAACGCACTGTCAAGGAGTGTTTCCAACCGTCCCGAGGCATTGAGGATCTGCGCTTTGCTGTGGTTCACCTGCCAAGCATCCCACATACACCTCGATCGATTCAAAGAGCATTGATCCAACTCTTCGAATGTCATGTACTTCTTGGCTAGCTCCTGAAAGGTGCCAATCTTAGTCACATTCAAGTGCCTTGCCATCTCACAAGGAGAGATCCCCACGTCAAAGTTCATGTACAGAATCCCTGGGACCGGATCCACCCTCTCGCTCCTCGTGTCGTCGTTCATCCGGATGTGCTTCATCTCCTCCGCCACGCAGGCGTAAGCTTCCCCGGAACACGTGTGGCTCAACGTCCACATCTTCGAGCGCATCAGAAAGATCACCTCACCGGTCACGCAAACGACGCACCGAGGTCCCGCGAGCGCGTGGGGGGAGGGAGGGAGCTCGCTAGTGCGGAGGTCGTGAGGAGTCTGAGTATACAGAAGTCTCGATCCGGAGGAGCTGAAGTAGGAGTCTCAGAGGGTGAACCTACACATGTTTCTGTATAGAACCTACAATCAGAGCTGTTTGGAGATGATGGGAGTATTCAGGTGGGTGAAGAAAATTCATTCACACAAGCAACTGAACACCACGCAGTCCTCGATCTGAACAACCAGACGATCTGAAAAGAAAAAAAGTGCCGAGCGACGCGCTTGAAGTAGAAGACAAATTCCTGTAGCATTGAACGCCTCTTGTAGCAGAGCTGCTGCTGAGTGCAATGGATGATCAGAGTCACCTCTTGTAAGGCGGCCATGTCGCAGGGGGGCTCAAAGACCCTTGGCCCGAGGGAATCCACCTGGCCCGGCGGAGCTTAGGCTTTCACCAGCGCGCTGGTGGTGCGGGCCCAAACGGGCATGGTGTGACCGAAGTGAGGATCCCTGAAGAGCTCAGGACATGGGGCACGAAAAACGGAAGAAACACGGAACACTACATTCATCTGGTGTGGTGCCATGGCCCCAGGGAAGGTCACCTAGGTCGGTCCTCCTCTAGTAAGTACTAGGCAATGAGTCGAGAGCCCCCCCTCCGGTGCACGTGTCCGATGTGTCAGTGTACTTGACAGTGTTCGTTTCGGTCGGCCCAACAGTTCTTCGATGTCCAAAGATGCAGATAGTTGTTCCACTCGTACGAGTGTTAGACCGTAGACCTCGTTAGAACTATAAAATATAGAAACACTCCAAATTGAAGACATCTCTCTCTCTCTCTCTCAATGCCAGGGGAGGACCTGAGGGCGCTGAGGGGGCTTTTCGCTATCCATGGTCACCCTGTAACAGTGAGACAAAGCCCCCCACTTTCTGTTCATCTTCCTTCGGTTTCTTGCAGCAAACACTGCCAAATCTTCCCCATCCCTCCACAGGCCGGCTGGACTGTATGCAAGGGTCGAGGTTCCTGTGTTGCTATGAGCTGTACCGCCTTCAGTACACCAACATCGCGATAGTCCACCTTGTGCCCACACACGAAACCTCCGCAAGAGGGCGGAGGCGGCGGAGACTGGGCGTGTCATGAAACCAATATCCATGAACATTGGAGTTCGATGCATTGAAAAAAAATGGTTGAAAAGTTGAAACTGTATAAAGTCCACCCAGTACAGTATGCTGGTATGATTTTTGCGGAGGAGCGACCAAGTCTTAGAAGTTGCACAAATAAATAACCATTGTTTGGTTTTCGACTCAGACTATTTGAGAAGCACCCTATGCCAATAGCACCTGAATTACGTAACATTGCTCTTCAAACCAAACGAAAAAAAAGCGAACACATGTCAAACCGTCCCTTGTCGTTCGGTCCTCACCACCTCACCCGCACCACCTCACCCGCACCTTTGGACAAGATCTCTTGGCGTCCCACCGATGAGCAACAGGAGCCCCGACAACCAAAGTTTTGGCTCCCCACATGGGCGACGGCCGCAGAGGTCGCCAACAACGTGGGCGAGGCCATCTCGTGAAAGACGTCCGCCTTTTGGAAGGCCTTGGCCTCGGCGCCGACCGCGGAGCTCGGGTGTGCGTGGACCTGTGCTGCAACGATCGAGCATTCGCAGCCAGCAGCGCCGTCGCGCGCCCGCGCCAGCAGCGCCGCCGACCAGTTTTGCTCATCCAAGGGTGTTTACAAAGTAAGGACGCAGCATGTGCTGTGGAGATTTCAGCGCTCTGGGTTGTGCTGGCTGGTTGGTCTTTTCACAGGACCAAAGGGATTGAATTCCGGTAACCCAAAACATCGATGAGCAACAAAAACAGGATTCCGCAGGCAATACGGAAGGAACAGGCAAAGCCATAACCCGAGATCATCGAAGATCTGAACCATGGGAGCGACAAATTCATTATACCGGTCGATGACTGTAGATTCCTACCCTCACAATGAGTCGATCTGTCTCTAGAATGAGGTTGATCTACTGTACGCGCGACAACAGGAAAGAGAACAAGAACAAGGTACAAGCCCTGTAAACAAACATCATGTTTTTCAAACAACCAGTAACAACCACAGCCTTGACCTTGACGACCTTGACCCCGACATACCACGACCATGAACACAACGACCACAATGGACGCCACCATGGAGGCGGCGGTGGTGGTGACAACGATGACAACCGTGACAGACGACCACAGGGACATAAACAACGATAACGATAACTAAAAAATAGTATTCTCAAGAGGTGTCGCTCCAGCTGCTTCTTCTTGAGCAGTTACAGTACAAGGAACAACCACTACGTATCAAGATCAAACAAGCACGTCATCTATATAGTACGTTTCTGTAGCTAAACTGTGTTCGTATCCCGGATCCCCTAATCCTTTAGTCGTTAGTGCTCAAAAAACGGTTTCCTCAGCCCGTTGTCTCCCTGTAATGTTGGTTTGATCTTCTATCTTGCAGTATGTTACCCATTGTCCTATCCTTTTTCGCGAGTCCTTATTTCACCCGCGGAAAACAGCGCGCTGACCGGCTGAGCCACGAAGGCGACATAGATGGGAAAGACCTTCTTGGGCACGTACAAGAGATCTGACATGCCGCGCCAAATGCCCCTGTCCAACTTCTTGAGGATTGACAGATCTCCCAGTCCTCCCATCTGTCTCATGGCCTTGACAGATCTCAAGATCCGATTCCGGGTCTCATTCTTCTTGACATCCCACCAAATCCACCGGCAATTCGACTTCATATCCTGGCTCAGCTGGTCGGATCCATCAAACCGATCAAGTTGATTGTGACAAACCCCTTTCAGGATCCCTAAATAAAACCACCAAACCACCTCAGCACTTTCGCGAAGCATCCTTGTTGCATTTGTCCAGTGCGGCGAAGCTGATGTACTTGTCGGACAAGGAGTCAAAAGCGCCCACCTTCTCCAGCTCCAAGCGCTGAGCCATCTCACATGGAGACAGGCTCATGTCAAAGTGCATATAAAGGATTCCTCCGCTTCGGTCAGGCATTGGATTTGGTCCAAGCGGATGGATTTGGAAAATACCAGACAAAAAAAGAGCTCAAAAACATATTAATGTAGGCTCTTGATTAGTATCCCACCCAGTTGAAATTGAACACCTCTTCATATGGGGTGGTTTATTAATCAAGAGTCTACATTATAGCATTGGCTGTGGGTCAGTGCCCAAAAAAAGCATCAAATTGACGATGTCAGCCCATCATAGTCAACTGCAGGGTAAATCGACCCAAATGGCTGTGAGTGCAGCTAAATGACCCAAATGACCCACAGCCTTGCACCCATCGACCGAGCTTCCCTCCGACTTGTTGGACCGTGCAATCTCTTCTGCGATGCACGAGTAGGGATCTCCAGCCGCCTGAGGACAGAAGACGGCGCCTGGTAACCAACGAGACTCCTGGCCCAGCAAAATCACGGTCTTCTTGAAGTAAGCAGAGTATTCCTCGGACACGGAGGAAGACTCCGATTTGGAAGAGTGTCGGAAAGCACCCTTGGACAAAACATGGGTTTCACAAAAGCAACACCAAGTGGTCAAGGGTGAAGAATGGAGAAGATCTCAATTGTTTCCCTCGCTGGGGCGGTATAGTTCTTATGTTTTTTTCGAAAAAAACTGTGGGGAGCCAGCATGGAAAAAGAGGAAGCTCCACTCGCAGTCGCTGTGTTTTAGGTCCACCTTGGTGTACCCATGCAGTGAACATCCATATCGGCCCACTTCTGAAGATCGCTCCAAGTGGCCATCAGAAGAGGAAGTCGCAACTCGCAGACATACGGGCTCTGTCGACAGTGGATCATCAACGTGATCGCCGCCAACGTCGAGGTGTTGCAGAACACCATCGCACCGCGTCCCAAGTCCCGCGGAGGCCGTCGCGAGGAGCGGGTGTCGCGCGGTCATCGGAGCGGGTGGAGTGGTCGCACGGCGCGCATGGCGCAACGGAGAGGAGAGTGGAGCGCGGGGGGGTCACGGCCACCCGACGGATGCAGCAGCCGTCAAAGAACGACTCAGATGAACTATGAACTAAAGCAGCTAGGGGTTCATGAAGCGACCAGGAGAATGGTCACCGGGAGGCGGGTGGGTGGAAACAGCTGAAATGGAAGAAAAAGGCAGCTCAGGTGAATTATGTTGGACTCTCAGGGAATGGAGCTCCTGAAAAAGGCTGGGTGCTGGCATGGGCTATGATCCGGCGTCTTTCTCTGGTTGAGCAGCAAAGCAAGGTCAAACTCTTGAGCCAAATGAGAAATCTTCAGCCTTCCCCACCCAGTCCACCCAGTCGCTCCCAGTCGAATGAACATGCCACGGATCCGCTGATCGGCGGCTTGATGCGGAGGCTCGGTAGCGGAGCTCGGTAGCTCTCCTGGGCGCGAGCTCACCTCTGAAGGGAAATTGCGTCAAAGTCAGATCTCTCTTCTGGATATACGTGATGACGCAAGTGATGATACACGACATTCCGCTTCAATTCCATACACCCAATCTTCTGTCTTTTTGCCATACAGGCCTCCACACAGCAGAGATGGAGCCACGCCCATGTGATGGGGCAGCTTGAGCAGCGCGGCGAGCCGTGAAAAAGCAGCTCTGGTCGATTAACCTACTGGATCCTATACTGGGCTTCTATTGGGCTGAACAAAATGGCCCTGAGCCTGGTAACCACCCCACATGACCCCACATGGAAGTGTCAGGGTCGTTGCTGTGGAGGATCCTTTTGTTTTCCTTGGCCCACCATCATCCACCATCCATGTGGCATCCCAAAACACAGGCCCACCCCAACCACCCACCCAGTCCGGGGGGCGGCCCGGGAGAAGTCCGGCAGGATCCTTGATTTGCATCGCCATGGTGGTTCCTACATCTCCAAATGCCGCCGATCCGTCAAAAATCTGAGCGCAACTCCTCCAACCATCCCAAACTCGTCCGTCACACCCAACCCCTGCGTGTGTTTTTCCTCTCTTTTGGCCAGTCGTCCAACCGCGGCCGGTCGCAGATCGTCTCTGCTTCCGACACACCGGCCCAGTCGCAGCAGTCCGCGGCCCCAGTCGCGGCGAGCCCCTCGTGTTACCGGCCCAGGGCTTTCAGGACAGCGCCCCCCGCGAAGTACAGCGCACACCTGGCTGCTGCGCGAGGACGGTTTGAGGGTGCCATCGGGTGCCATCCCCTGACGCCGGCAGAATTGACCAGGCTTTGCGTGCAGAGGAGGGGGGAGTGGAGTGGAAAAGTTTGAAGACCATTGATTGAGGGAATTCGGGATGTTCGAACGAAGAGCTAGCTAGCTGCAATCCACTTTTAAAGCAAAGGCAGCGTTCAGTGTTCCTGACAAGCTTGGTGTCAGAGGAAGTGTCCACAACTTCTGACTCAAGCAACAGGATTCCGAAAAGTGCTGATGCCCATCCAAAGCCGCATGTGACCTGAAATGCTACTTGATTGGAACTGCAAATCATGGAATCACGGGGGCAAGGATTCCTCTGCTTCCTCTCCCAGCTTTTTTCATCAACTGATCGAGGCTATCCATTTGGCCGTGGGCAATACACGTCAATTATGGGTGAACACACCTAATCCCATGCTATAACACACCTTGTCCCAATCCGACACACCTTTCCATGTTTGTTTGTTGAGCCATGGGGCTTTCGTCCCATGTAGTGCTGAAGAAGAGCGCCCCCCTTCCCGGCTCGCGCCACTCCGGTGACGGATTCTCACACCCCTTGGCGTCTCGGGCGTCCCGGCAGAGCGCCCGAGAGCAGGAGCTGGGTCACTGGGTCAGTGCTGGGGGTGAGGATGGCACCCACCTGGTCGCTGTGGAGCTTGGAGCTCGAGCGAGGCGAGGGAGGGAGGGGGTGGATGGGCGATGGATCCACGAAGGGAGCCAGGGAGGCGGGCTCTGACTAGGCTGCTCTTCATCCAAGAGAGGACTCTTGGAGTGTTTGAGTTGCACTCCACGGAGATTCATCGATCTTGAGAGGGCGGGGTGAATGCTCAGCGATTTTCGTTTCAACCATGCGAACGAGCAAAACACCAGACAGTATGACCCAACAAAATTCGGAAGACCGGAGTACGTACCGAAAACAACACCCCATGTGTGGAGGGGGGGCCAATTGGGTCATGGGTCCCATGTACGCTGGGGATCAAAACCGGTCGACGGATGAAAGGTGAAGGATCTCACAGTGCACCGGAACCCATCGACACGTGCCACGTGCGGAAAACGAACAAAAGCAAGGAAGTATATATAGTCTATAGAGCCCACCGTCTAGTTTAGGGTGTTGATCTTTCAAAAACAGTGCAAGTGCCAAGTATTCCAAAGTACGCGACTTTCCAGGACTCGCCCAAAGTACGTCATCCAGCACTCACCCACTGATCCCAAAGGATCAAAAAACAGGGCGAGTGAGAGAATGTGGACCTGGTTTCAGGAACTGCATCGCTCTTTGGACCAGCCAAAGCATGCCAAAGCTGGCAGCTTCCCATGAAGCCACTCAGCTTGGACTCAGCTTCCCAGCTGGCTTTCGACCGAGGGGCGATGGCGCTGCCCACAACCACGTAACGCCAGATCTGGCCGGGGCCGGCGGTTTTGAGGGGCAATCGGGCGAACAATGGCTGAATATCAGCAAAGAGATGACCATGGTCCCCTGGAAGAGTGTTTTCCTCTACCAGTGGTTTTCAGACACCCATGGGCATGCTGTAAGTGAACCAAAAAAGAAGCAAGTGAGCACTTGGGGTCACCAAGTCGACGAAGTGCTCACCTCGTTCAGGGTCGAAACCACGAAGCGGTACAACTTCTGGTGACTGGCCAATGGCATGGCCAGTCACACCCCTTGACCTTTGTCAGACTCGAGCCGGCTATGAGTCTCAAGAGAAACGGTCCAGGGGTGAGTTTGGGGCTTTTGGGGTGTCTCCGTCCAAGTTCCCTGATAGCTCAACAACTCGAAAACCCTCGGCCCCTCCCAAAAACGGGCCCCCAAAACGGCCACAGCCACACTCTGCTGCTTCCAACGCTTCCAACGACGAGGTGCTGCGAAGAGCTTCTGCGAATCGATCACGCCCAGAAGGCCCAGAGCGACCTGCGGGGTCGTTTTTCACGCGTTGAAAGACGAAGACACCCAGGAAAAACATGGAGCAGTGCGAGTCTTGGAACCTGGTGAGTCTTGGATGATCTGTATTTCACCTCAAAGAGGTGAATGATGGTGGATGTTTGGCAAGAAAATTGCTCTGTGATCAGTGCTTGATCCCTGTTTTTGGTGTTGAAATGCATTCGATCTACGTGATTACGTGTTTTATGATTCGATTCCGTTCAGAAATGCACCCTGAATCACCCTAATATATTCTTGGTGATCCTGGAAACCGCAACATCACGGTCAGTCTTCCCCAAAGGAATCTTGCTGAAAGAACCAGGTGTAGAGTGACCGTTTAAAGAGTTGGCCTGGGTCCTACAATGACACCTTTTCAGATGAAGCTTGCAAAGAGCGTATCTTGGATGCCCTGTGGATGGGGGAAATCGCACGCCAAACAAAGCCACGCACTGAGCGAGGCTGCATATCGGCGCCTGTAAGACGGGGACTTGGAAGGCAATGCCTGTGGCAAAGCCCATGCCTCAGCACAATGACAACTCGGAATCATGAGACGTTGAACAAGTGAAAATCGATTGAAACCACCCGTCAGAAACTGTTGCTGTTATGGAATGTTGACAGGTCAGACTGTATTCAACACAGTTTCAATGCACGGTTTATATGCAGAAACAATTTCAATAGAGTTTCAATACGGTTTGATCTGTTTTGTATATTCTGTCGTGGTTTAAATAGGGAACCTGTCGTCTCTTTCTCAGATATTCTCCGAAAAAGGAACCTCCCCCTCTCGCCCGGCCCCATGCCAGCACCGCGGTGCCCAGGACCAACCGACCACATCGACTCAAAGCTCGAGGCGAACCCACCGGAAGGGGTTCGGACGGGTGGAAGAGTTGGAGAACAAGGTCAGCGTTTTGAAGAACAAGGTCAGCCCGAAGAGGAGTGATCTCTAAATCCCTTAGTCTCAAAGCAATTCCTATTTCCATATCTATGGATCTATCCCATCTCCAATGTCTCCCAGTCTGCACCACATGCGCGACACAGTTGGGTCCGCGGCTCAAAATGAACTCGAAGTACTGGTCGATCGAAAACTGGCTCTCAATGACATCCTGGCATGCCCAGTGTCAGGTACTGTAGCTGGTGTTTCGCGATGTTCAGTGATTTTAGGGCTCGTGTAGCCCTCTGCATGGTGTCCTGTTCATTGATGTCATCATGGTTTCGGGAGCCTCCATCTTCCCAAGCTCCTTTCGCCTCAAAGTCTTGCGAACGCTCCGTTCCAGCTGAAGCCCAAATGTGTTGTTTCGGGATTGGGGGCTGTGTGGGGGCGTTGTCGTGATGCTTGGATTGTTGACTTGCCAAATGGTAGGAGTTTCCCCCTCTTGTTGGTTGAATTCCATCCCTGGTGTTGTTTGAAAATCAACTCCTACCTTGGAAGGTGCCCAGTATCCCCATGTTGGATGTGCACGACTGTCGGTTCTATCTATCACATGCCGCTCACCCATGGATGCACACGACTTCATCTGGAAGGGTTTCCCATCTGGACCACGCTTCTTCTCGGTTGACACGGGATTTCTCCGAGGTAAAATCATCCGCCCACTCTCAAAGTCAGCAAACCCCTGGCATGGCCCAAAGGACAATCCCGTGAAAATGGATCTCATCTACCACCTAATGGTTTTCAGGGTTCACGTGGTCCTCTGCGGGAGGGTAGCTCCTTGCTTGCCATTCCTGGCGGCTCAAAGCCCTTTCACATTGCCGCAGGTGTTCTGTTAATCCCGAACCGATGGCTCTTTTGGTGC